AATATAATATAAAACTAATATAATATCAATAAAATAATATAAAATAATGTTTAAAAATATCTATAATATTACAATAGCAAATATAAAGGCCAAAGAAGATACAGTAACTAAAAATAGAATAGAAATAGAATGAGTCTAAATGAATAAAACACAAGAATTGCCAAAAGAAAAAATAGTAATAGGTCTAGAAGGATGGCAAACATTAACAATAGTTGAGTTAGTAACAATATGGATAACAATATTAATGATATCAAAAAGAAAGCAAATGGAAATATATACAGATAGTAATATGGTAATAAAAAACATTAATAGAGGTTTAGAATAAACAGATAAAAACAAGATTTTCAAAAAGAAGAACACAATATGGATAATGAAGATTAGAAACCTTATTATAACAAAAAATATACAGATAGAGTTAATCAAAGTAAAGAATCACAGTAAAGATAAATGAAATGACAAAGCTGATAGTCTAGCAAAGAAAGAAGCAATAAGCAAAGAAATAATATAGGCCAAAGAAGTTAGTTGTAAAGAAATAGAGTATTGCTTAGAATAGGAAAACAAATAAACTGACATACTAGCAAGATTATTGTATAAGTTAATAACAAATACAAGATTAGAAGCAAAATAGAGAGAAATAAGAGCAATTAAAGAATTAGAATCTGAATCTGAAGTTACAATTTATAATTGAACATTTTTTTGAAAAAGACTAAAAATGACAAAGAGAGTATATTGTATAACAAGAAAAATTAGTGTCAGAAGAAATGCATTTATAAAATGTATAATAGATAAACTTCTGATTTTAAAAGAACTCAATAAAAGAAGATCAAATATATATACAATGACCAAATACCAAGTATATAAAGATAAAGTTAAAGAAATACAGATGCATTTAGTAGCATACAAAAAACAAAGAAATTTATGAAAAAGAATACAAAAAGTGACTATTATAACAGCATAGAAGAGACTTAGTAAAGAGAAAAAAATTTGAATCCCTCTATATGTGTTATATATAGCACTCTTTGGTAAAACAGAAGCAGAAAAAGTAAGAATAAGAGAAGCTCTAATTAAAGGTTTGATTCTAAAAAAAATACAAGATAGATTATAACAACTCCTAAATATAAATCAAAATAGCAATTTGCAAATATAATAGCAAATATGACCTGAAATATATTTTATAAACAAATATGAAGAGTTTGATATAAGAAGATTATTAAATAGAAGAGGAAAGTAGAAATAATGGATAGATTAAAAAGAAGAAGAGAAAAAAGAAAATAAGATCATGTAAAAGAAAAAAGACAAATTAGCAAAAGATAGAAAAAAAGAAAGAGAAAATAAGAGAAAAAGAAGAACAAATCAGAACAGAAACACAGAAAACAATTTTAGGACTTGTCATGGAAGGAAGAAAACCCTTCTATTATGAACTTTAAGTAGTTAAACAAGTAGCTTACTTCTGCTTGAAGTAATGTAACAGGTTGCACTTAGGTATCATTAAGGTGACCAGGTGATGCTAGACTTAGTTGTTAAGGGTATTTATGTAATTGCAAATGTAATTTCAAAATCTTAATAAAGTACTAGCATAACTGCTTAAGAGAAAAAAAAAAAAATTTAAAACTTGTTATAAAATAAAAAAATTCTTTTTATTATAAACTGTAAGTAATCAAATAAGCAATCTACATAACAGATTGCATTTAGATACTGTTAGGATGGCTAGGTGATGCTAGACTTAGTTATTAGGTATCTCTATATAATTGCAAAAATAATTACTAATATAAATATTAAAAAAAAAAATCACTATTTCTTATTCTTACCTTAGAAATTTTCAAAACTTAAATTTTTGTTTTAATTTTGCTTGTCTTTTATGTTCATTCAGTTTTTTTTTTGAACCTTTTTAGAATCTTTGCGTTCTTTTAATCATTTACATACTTTATTAATTCTATTAACCGATTCTCAAACAGTTGATTATAGTCCAACCGGTTCAAATCACTAAGTATGATGCATCAAGAACACTACCAAAATTTAGCTATATCAAAAAAGTAACCAATCATATGAATGTCGTCCTATGAGATCGGGCCGAATCCTAATTATATCGTGTATCAAATATATCAAAGACCAATTTATACAACTCTAATTATAAAACGCGAATAAAATTCAAACATTAGCAATAATACGCGTATTTTTTTATATATCTATATTAACGTTAAACTATTATATATCATGCCAAGAGAATTAATTACAATTCAAACAGGACAATGCGGAAACCAAAGTATGTGTCGCTAGACTGTTGACACAGCCTTATATGAAATAATATAATAATTACGATTTTGGAATATAAATAAAATAGTTGGAATGGAATTTTGGTCCCAACTTTGTGCTGAACATGGTATTAGTAAGGACGGAATACTTGAAGATTTTGCGACGGAGGGAGGTGATCGAAAGGATGTTTTCTTTTATCAGGTTATAACTTTTTAAATGATTATTTATGGTCTTTCGTTATAAAACAGTTGACTTTAACGACAGCAACATTTTTTTTGAGCAGGCTGATGACGAACATTACATCCCCAGGGCGCTATTACTAGACCTTGAACCTAGAGTATTATTATTATAACAAAATTGTTTTGTATAAAATTCAAATATGTGCAACTTTATAACCAATATTTTTTATAATCTAGGTTATCAATAACATCTTGGCTTCTCCATATTCAAATTTATATAATCCTGAGAATATTTATCTGTCAAAAGATGGTGGTGGTGCCGGTAATATTTGGGCTTATGGGTTTTCGCAAGCAGAAAAAGTATGCGAAGATATATTTGAAATGATTGACCGCGAAGCGGATGGAAGTGATTCTCTAGAAGTATTATTATTACTATTGTTACTATCATTGTTTTTATTGCTACTATTCTCATTTTGAATTATTTATGATAGGGATTCATGCTTCTTCATTCAATTGCCGGAGGAACAGGTTCGGGCATGGGATCATTCCTCCTGGAACGACTCAATGAGCGATATCCAAAAAAGTTGATCCAAACATACTCCGTATTTCCCAATAATGAGGAGTTTTCTGATGTGGTTGTTCAACCATATAACAGTATGCTAACTTTAAGAAGACTGACTAGTAATGCAGACTGTGTGGTGATTATATTGTTTATAACACTGTCTCATGCATTAAAAAAAGTGAATACTATTAATTGATTTAACTTCAGATCGTGTTGGATAATGCTGCTCTGAACCGGATTGCGTGTGATCGGCTTCATGTTCAGAAACCTACATTCACACAGACAAATCAATTGGTACAGTTTATTATGTTAATCGAAAACTATTATTGAAATTGAATTTTCATATGGAATTATTATTATATTGTTTATTTAGGTATCAACTGTAATGTCTGCAAGCACAACAACACTTCGTTATCCTGGTTATATGAATAATGATCTTGTTGGGATGATTGCATCACTAATTCCCACACCTAAATGTCATTATTTAATGACAGCATACACACCTTTTACGAGCGATAAAGTTGAAAAGGTCCGATTTGTTCAAGTGTATTGTTATTTCTTTTCATAATCTCATTAATTCCTGAATTTATATTATAGGCCAAGTCTATACGTAAAACGACGGTACTTGATGTCATGAGAAGGCTATTACAACCAAAAAATAAGATGGTTTCAATTAATCCTTCAAAAAAAAGTTGTTATATTTCTGTCTTGAACATTATTCAAGGGGAAGCTGACCCGACTGACGTTAGTTTATTTATTTGTTTACGTGTTTACAGTAATAACATTAACGTATCTAACTACTACTGAATAGGTGCACAAATCTTTACTACGGATTCGTGAGCGTCGGTTGGCTCAATTCATTCCATGGGGTCCGGCTAGTATTCAGGTAGCCCTAACAAAAAAGTCACCTTATGTTCAGACGTCACATAGAGTAAGCGGGTTGATGTTGGCAAATCATACCAGCATTGCTTCAGTAAGTTCAATTATGATGTTTGTAAAATTACCTGTGGTCATTTAAGCAATTTATCAAGCTATTTTATTTTGTAATGACTAGCTTTTGAAGCGTACATGTGATCATTATGATCGTTTCAGAAAACGCGGTGCTTTTCTAGAGCAATATAGAAAAGAGGATATGTTTGCAGATAACTTGGATGAATTTGACGTTGCCAGGTACATTATTAACATAATTACACTAATGCATGATTAATAATGTTATTTACGCCTATATTTAATTATTCATAGAGAGGTTGTACAAGATTTGATAAATGAATATGAAGCATGTGAAAGCCTGGATTATATTAAAGTTTAGAACCGGGTTATAGTAAACCGGGTCACCCGTGTCAAAAGGGTTAAAAATTTACAACTCGGGTCAAAACGGTTGAATATGTAACCTCTAAAAATCTGTTACTGTTACACAGAAACAAAATTTAACACATTGTATTGTGAAAATAAACCTCTTTTCTTTTTTTTTTACTAATTTATCTAAATGTTTAATCCCTCTAACCTGGATTTTAAAAAGTTACAAACTTTTGAAGGCTACCATACGACTGACTATCTATTGCGAAAAATTTTCCTTTGAAATATGTAATACACTGTGTTTGACAGCTACCCTAGTAAGACTGAAAGATCACCAATCAGATGATCTGCACTAGTTAAAAATAATTGAATTTTTGGTTATGACCGACAAAGGCTTATCTTTTACGGTGAATCTTTTTTGTTAGTGCGCATAAGGCGGTTTCATAGAGTTGATTGTTAGAAAAGTTCTGATTGTTGCATGAATTGTGTAATCGTAGACAGGGCTACCGAATAATTGTTTGTGACTAAGTATTTTTCTAATAGATAACAATGTATATTTAATTAATAAATTATTTAAAAAAGAGCAAAAATCAAAATTTTTGGTTTTTGTGATTTTTTTTAGCAGTCAAGTAATATTTTGATTTAAAACCTAATTGCTTAAGAGAAAAAAAAATAAGTTGAGCAACTTAAAGGCATAAATAAAAAATTAAATGTTTTTAATAAAAAAAATATATATATTTTTGTTAAGATGAGGCTTTGTTATATTTTTATTAGTAATTTAAAATAATTATATGGGGATGCCCACAGCAAAACAAGGCTTCGGGACTATATATTATATAGTCCCTAAGCCTCATATATATATGTTGTGCGTTAGATGGATCCTTGCGTCAGATTTCAGCTAACGCACGTCAGATGACTACCAGATGACCAGCGTTAACTGATCTGCAATAATTGGCCTAAATTACATTGTAAGTTTCACCCTAACCCTAATCCTAACTCAGGCCGGACATCATCTGACGCAAGGATGCATCTGAGGCACAACATATATATACATTATGGTTAAAGTTAATACTTGCAATATTTTTAGTAAAAATTAACAAATGATTTATAAAAAGAGCAAATTTTATAAAAATTAATTAATTTTAAATTTATATAAATTTAAGATGTGGTAACCTAGTAAAGTAAGCAGGTTGTCAACTTCCAAGTGACAGGTTTAGTATTCAAATTTTATATAAATAAATTTTAAAAATTATATTTGTGTTATAGTAATTGTTTTTTGTTAATTGGTTAGATTTATATATCTGTAATCTTAGATATACTAAGTTGAATCTTATTTAATATTAAGAGTTTAAAGCATTTATATAAAATGTAATGTAGAGATGTAGCAACCTAGTAAAGTGATCAAGTTGTCAACCTTCCAAGTAGTAGATTGGATGTTTAAATCTTATTAATGATAAAAATTTGAATAATTATTTATATAATATTCATATTATGATAATTGTTACTAATGATTGATTAGAATATTTATAATGGGTGTAGTAACCTAATGAAATGGTCAGGTTGTTAACCCTTCAAGTAGTAGGTTAGATGTTCAAATCTTATTGATGTTGAAAATTTAGATAATCATCTATATAACATTCATATTATAGCAACTTTTACTAATGATTGGGTTAGGATACCTGTAATGATAGTCGCACCAGCATAATTAGTAGGTCATAGGACATTCATGTAACAGGTCACATAACATTGTCTTTTGAAACAAGGTTGTAATTATATAAAAGAATGCAAACCGGCAATTAGGCAGTGCAAATACTAGATAAGTTTTTGTGATTGTATAAATTTGTTGAAATTGGGTAACAAGAAGTCCATTTGGAAAGATCCAAGTAGAGAGGTAGTTAAATCTTCGATGGCTCTACTGTAAAGGTTAGCTTTATAAAACAGATACTAAGGTTGAAGTAGCCAGACAGGCAAAAATCTCTAAGTAGAGAGTATCACCAACTAGGTTACTAGATCGAGCCAGAGGAAAAGAATATCAGGCTAATCTAATATACCAATAAACCATCATAAGTTCTACTAAGCTATCTGAATTGGAAGTTTGGTGAACTGGCAGAGATATATTAAAGTATTTCAGATATGTTATAAAGTAGATGTTAGGGTTTGTGTGAACTTTACAAGGGCATAGCAGTTTAATAATCAGTTCTGATTACAAGTATTGGTTCTGCTATAGTGATACTTAGGTTAGCTGTAAAAATGAATACAGAAGGTTTTGGAAGTTTATCTTGAAGATAAATTAGTCTTAAGGTTGAGACAATGATCTGAACATCTGAAATAATCCAATAATGTTAACACAGATTACAGATTCAGAAGGTTTAAAGTAGAACATCCAAGCAGGAGTGTTAGATATGACAATTAGTAGAAAACCTTCAAGCAGACTTCTTAAATAGGTAATATAGAAAAGTTATATGTGTAGCCAATTGTATGCTCTCTTGTAGTGGTTTATTGAACCACAATACTGATAAGTAATTAATAAAAGTCAAAAGACCAAAGAGGTCACCTTAATACCAAAAAAAAAAAAGAATATTTATAATGGCACTTATATTAGCATAACTAATAAGTCATAAGATATCTGTATAGAGAATTGCAAACTGACAAATTAGACAGTGCAAACATTAGATAAGTCCTTATAACTATATAAATCTATTAAAATTAAATAACAAGAAGTCTATTTGAGAAGATCTAAATAAAGAAGTAATCAGATTTTTGATAACTTTATTATAAAGACTAGTTTAAAAAACAGATATCAAGATTATAATATCTGATTATAGTAGCTAAACAGACAAAAACCTTCAGATTGAAAATCTTAAAGGTAACATCAATTAGGTTATTGGAATAAATCAGAAGAAAAGAATATTAGGCTAACTTAATATATTAATGAACTAATTATAGTTCTATACAGTATTATAGAACGATTTATTATTATTTTATTATTATTATTAGTTATTATTATTTTATTATCTTATTATTATTATTTAGTATTAGTATTCTATTATTGTATTGTTATTATTAGTAGAAGTTGTTGAAACATTCCGGTTGATTAGTAATCACTTAGTCACTTAGTTACTTAGTTGCTTAGCCACTTAGTTACTTAGTCGCTTAGTAATTAGTTGCTTAGTAATCATTAGTCATTAGTTGCTAGAACCTTTTGGTTACTTAGTAATTGCTTAGTCGCTTAGTCGCTTAATCACTTAGTCACTTGGCCACTTAGCTCACAGATATATAAATCCTGCTAAATTCCCCAAGTGTGATTAAGCAACAGACACCTCTCTTTTCTTTAATATTGTAAACACATCTTGGGATTCTTTAGAAACAGAAACCTAAGGATAGCCCTTCTTGTTATTACTTTAATAAACGGCTTTTGACTATAAACTGTATTGATACTCCCCCTCTAGGGTAATTCCTACAGGCAAGGTTTATCTCCTCTTGGTAAAATAAAGTAAAGTTATTAGTATTGCATTACCTTTCCCGAACTGCTTCAGAGAAGGGTATAGTTTCTTGACAATGTCTAACAGAAGTTATACTTCCCTCTTGGACATTGCATATACCTGTAAGGGATTCCCTGTGCTGTGTCATCATTATAATATAAAAATTAAGAAGGCTTTCACCTATAATATTTGGTGCCTTTTGGCGAAAAGGTTAAATTTTTAGAAAAAACAAGTCACCCTAGACAAAACATTCCTGGATGTATTGGAAAAGTTTTCCCAGCAAGAGACCTGGACAAGTATTAGTTATCCCGGCAAGAGACCCAGACATGTATTAGTTATTCTAGCAAGAGATCCAGATGTGTATTAGTTATCCTGGCAAGAGACTCAGACGTGTATTAGTTATCTTGGCAAGAGACCCAGATGAGTATTAGTTATCCTGACAGAGTCTCAGACATAGAAACATCACTTCTTTATGGTTCACACTGCTGCTGAACTCTACAACAAAAATATCCAAAGCCATCAACAAGCACACCTAACTGAACCTCATCTTGCAGTAGACGTACATCAAGCATAGTATCCAGATTTATCTTGTTTACAGTATTACTTCCCTTGGCATACTAGCCCTCGCTCAGATTTTGGATGATTTTGGACTTGGCACCAAACCAACTTTGAAGCTCAATATTATTCTTCCCAAACTCAGGACAACTTTACTGTTCTTACTACTCTATATTCAAACTGAGTTACAATTTGCCTCTGTATTAGAAATATTATTTTTAGTTGTCGATACCAACAAGACCTTGGTGACCCTCACACAATTGCTTTAACTCTAATTAGAAGATATACCAACCTTTTTCAACTTTTTACTATATCTTTTGAGTATCAAAACACTTTTGACCTTCATCTCAACACTCCTTTAAGTTTTAGTTTCGAGAAACCAGGAGAATTTAGTCGACATCTTGGAAATTTAGAAAGTCCTATCCTACCACCTACTACTGATATTACTTATACCAATAATATTCCCTTCTTACGTGATCCAGCAAATAGCTTAACTCCATATAGTAAATTAGTTACACCCACTGAACTTTCTAGAAGTTACTATACTCCTGATTAGACTCTACAAATCTCTTTACTACTTATTGACAATATAGAAACAAAAGAATATATTAATGCTTCTGTAGACCTTACAGAAACCTCTAACTCAGATTACACTCCTACTGACTCATCTCAACAAACTTTTGAAAATAGTCCTTCTTCTTTACCTTCATCTCAACTTGCTATTCCCATATTTCAACCTATTGCTGTTCAACCTCAACCTATTCAATTTCAATCTATTGCTATTCAATTCCAACCTATTGTCATTCAACCTCAACCTCAACTTCTTCCTCTACTTCCACCTATTCTTAATAACCTTCCTGACCCACTCGATAACATGGCATAACAGGCTTTACAAGATACTGCACAAGCTATGGCTAACCTTACCAATACTCTAAA